GCGCAGAGCTTGATGTATGAGCGCTTGCGTGAGCGCATGCTTCGACAAAAGAAATATTACGATCGCGGAACGAAGCAGCTTCCACGCCTGTTGCCCGGAGACGAGGTCTGGGTCGCGCCGACACCGGGAGCTAACGGGTCTTGGAGGAGAGGGCGAGTAGAAGGTCTCAAAGGCGAACGAAGCTACGACGTAAGAGTTGGGGATAGTCTATTTCGACGCAACCGGGTGCAGTTAAGGAGACAACGTGGTGAACAAGCACGGCATCGTGCGAAGCAGCCAACGCAGCCGGACATTTCGGTGGATACGGCAGCACACGACCACAAGACTACACGCAGTGGAAGGCGATACAGCGCTTACGCAATCGGACTACAAAAAAAACGAAAAAAGGAAGGATGTGATGGTAGCTTACGTGCCAAACCGCCAGCCAACAGCGCGAACTGGTTTCCACCAATCGGCAACACAATCGGAGATCGCAATCAGTTCGCGGCACCGCCAACCAGTGGCGCACACAAGCTACCGATCGGACGAACAGACCAACGGCTCGGCAAAGCGTCTGGCAAACAAGCGTGGTCCGAATATCCAATCAAAACCCGAGACGGCTCGCAAACGAGTAAGCGACGTTAAGGGGATCGAGGACTTGCATCAGACGCCTGACCAATCAGCGTCACGTCAATCCGGTACGCGAACGACCGTCCATAGGCCAGAAAGAGCAGGCACTGAACCGAAACCCATCGGCCGATTGGTTTTTGATCGTCAAGACACAGCATGGGGAACCAATTGTAGCAAATGCCATGGACGAATTACGACCGAACGATTGGAGGCGAAACGCCCAGGATCAAAGGACACTGGCAAATGGAGACAAATGCATGAAAGTGTAGTAGCCGAATAGAAACGGGCGCAGAAAATGGTCATATCTGATATAAAAAGAAAGCAATTCTCGCCAATAAAGATTTTCGTGTCGCCGCCACCTGTTGTTCTTTCTGCCGGAGGGCCGCACGTTTTACATGGCGACAGAGGACAAGAAGACACGCCGAACCCCGCATGCGTTTGGTGGACAACCAACGATTCCGCTGCCAGCTCCGTTGCAAATGACCGAGAGTTCGTTGCCGGAGAATTGGAGAATATGGAAGGCGAAGTGGCTAGACTTTGTAACACTGACTCAGTTGGATTCTCAGCCAATGGCCTATCAACTGGCGATGTTCAGGCATGCCATTGGAGACGAAGCCAGGCGGACGCTGCAAACGTTGGATCTCAGCGATGGAACTCAGGAGATGGAGCTGGATGAAGTAATACGCAGATTCGGCGAGTTTTGCGAAGGTTACACAAACGAAACTTACCAAAGGTATCTGTTTTTCAGCCGAAATCGCCTGCCGGGTGAATCAATCGACGCATACATCACGGAGCTGAAAATTCTGGCGCGGGATTGCAATTTTTGCACCTGTTTACGAGATTCGCTGATCCGCAATCGAATTATAATTGGCATAAAGAATGAGGAACTTTCCAGACGCCTTTTGCGACAGCGAAACCTGTCTTTGGAACATTGCATCGATATCTGTTTTAGCGAATCAAGGACGGCTCAACAGTTTCAGCAGCTCAAGATGGAGTCCACGACGGATCTGTTTGCAGTATCCCGAGGCCGAGAAATTGTATCGAAGTCATCGAGCGCGAATCAACCCAAATGCCAGTTTTGCGGCCGCTCACACCCAAGGCGCAAAGAGGATTGTCCAGCATGGGGCCGAACCTGTATGAAGTGTGCGAAGAAGAACCACTTTGCACGTTGTTGTCAGGCAACCAAAGTCGACTCAGTCGGGCAGGACGATCAGGAAGAGCCGCAGGAACTGGCTATTAACAACATGACAGAACGTGAGAGACCAGTCTGTGTATTCGCAACGTTGCTTATTCAAGGGCGTCCGGTGCGATTCCAATTGGATTCAGGAGCAAGCGTGAACATACTTCCTCACAAATACTGTCCCGATGCAGAATACCGCCAAATACAGACACAGCTCAGAATGTGGAACGGATCAAAGTTACAACCGAAGGGCTGCGTTACCATGAAGGCCATAAACCCGAAGGATGGCTCCGAGCATTTACTTGATTTTCTCCTGGTATCAGGAGATTTAATGCCCATCCTGGGCCTTGATTCCATTCAGAGTTTGGGTTTTGTTTCTTTTAATCATGATCGTTTTGTTCACTCGTGCGAAGTCGGTACAGAGATCGTAGACAACTATCCCAGTGTGTTTGATGGTACCGTGGGAAAATTCCAAGGCGTAGCTCACCTGTCGTTAAACGAGTCCGCTAGACCAGTAGCACTACCAGCGAGAAAAGTACCTATCGCTTTGCGTGAGAAGTTCTTAGACGAGTTGCAGCGTTTGATCAGTTTAGGTGTGATTGCCAAGGTCGATGAGCCAACCGATTGGGTCAGTCAAGTCGCGATAATCACCAAGAAGTCAGGCGATTTGCGTGTGTGCATCGACCCTAAGCCGCTCAACGCCGCACTCAGGAGAGAGTATTTTACACTACCAACGCTAGATGACGTCTTACCCGAGTTGTCCAAGGCCAGATTGTTCACGAAGGTCGACCTCGCTTCCGCTTTCTGGCACGTCCAGCTTGACGAAGAGTCCAGTTATTTAACCACGTTCGGAACGCCATTTGGACGGTTTCGGTGGTTGCGCTTACCATTCGGTTTGAAAGTGTCCAGTGAAATTTTTCAGAAACGATTAATGCAGGCCCTAGACGATCTACCCGGAGCTATTTGTGTAGCAGACGATGTAGTGGTTTTTGGGGCGACTCTGGAAGAGCACGACCGTAACCTGAGCAGATTTCTAGAACGCTGTAAAGACAAGAATATCAGATTGAAACGTGAGAAAATTGAGTTACGAAAAACAGAGCTGGTGTTCCACGGACATGTTTTGAGCGCAGAAGGTCTAAAGCCAGATCCGGAGAAAGTTAGAGCCATAAAAGAGATGCCACCTCCGACAGATGTTAAAGCCGTGAGCAGACTAAACGGGATGGTGAATTACCTCAGCCGCTTCCTTCCACGACTAGCCGAAGTAATGGTTCCTATCCGAAAACTTACACATAAGGGCGAGAGCTGGCAGTGGAACACAGAACAGGAGGAGGCTTTCCAGAACATCAAACAACTGATCGCGTGCGCCCCTGTCCTAGCGTATTACGATCCGTCACTTCCCCTTGAGATCCAGTGTGACAGCAGCCAATTCGGTATCGGTGCCGTGCTAATGCAGAACGGGAAGCCCATCGATTTTCGCAGTCGGACACTAACGGAATCCGAGCGCCGTTATGCACAGATTGAAAAGGAGATGCTAGCATTGGTTTATGCCGTAGAGCGTTTCAACGATTACACTTTTGGTCGCCGGACCACTGTATTTACCGATCACAAGCCTCTGGTATCAATAGCCAATAAACCACTGCACGTCGTCCCACGCCGCTTACAACGAATGCTCATTCGGCTCCAGAAGTACGACCTAGACATCGTCTACCAACCGGGGTCGAGGATGTACATTGCAGACACACTGTCTAGGGCATATCTTTCCGATGTGACCGCAACGCAAGAAGACCAAGACATTGTCCATGTCACTCAGCTATTGGCCGTCACAGAGGAGCGTTTCCAGCAACTACTACGCCACACGGAAGCAGACGAGCTGTGTAATCGGCTCAAGGAAACGATACTGAAAGGGTGGCCCGATAGTAAAAACAAGCTGCCAAAGGAGTTGACTCCCTTCTTTAACTTTCGGGATGAACTTGTCACACAGGATGGGCTAATCTTCAAAGGCAACCGTATACTCGTTCCAAAGGCAATGCAACGACCCATGCTGGAGCTGATACACGGAAGTCATTCAGGAGTCAATGCTTGCGTGGCGAGAGCTCGAGAGCTAATGTTTTGGCCTGGAATGACTAGTCAGATACGGGATCACGTTTCAAACTGCTTAGCCTGTCGAGCACATGATGTCCGCCAGCCGAAGGAGCCTATGATGCTTCGTGAGGTCCCGGAAAGGCCGTGGCAGAAAGTCGCCCTAGACATCTTTGCACATGACGGAAAGAATTACCTGATCGCTGTCGATTACTTTAGCGACTATTTCGAGATTGATGCTCTCACGTCTACTAGCACACAGGCCGTGATAAACAAGCTACGATCGCAGTTTGCGCGACATGGGATACCGGAAGAGGTAGTGTCCGACAATGGCCCCCAATTCAACAGCGCCGAATTTCGGAGTTTCAGCGCAAAGTGGGATTTCCTTCATCGTTTAACCAGCCCTTACCACAGTCAGTCAAATGGAAAAGCTGAGTCAGCCGTGAAGGAAGCAAAGAAGTTACTCACCAAAGCCAAGGAGACCAAAGAAGATCCTTACATCATGTTGTTAGAACGAAGGAACATGCCATCTGCCGAAATTGGATGCAGTCCAGCGCAACGTCTGTTTGGCCGTAGGACAAGAACCCTGTTGCCGATCGCCAATACTCTGCTGCAGCCTGAAATACCATCGCAGAGCTTGATGTATGAGCGCTTGCGTGAGCGCATGCTTCGACAAAAGAAATATTACGATCGCGGAACGAAGCAGCTTCCACGCCTGTTGCCCGGAGACGAGGTCTGGGTCGCGCCGACACCGGGAGCTAACGGGTCTTGGAGGAGAGGGCGAGTAGAAGGTCTCAAAGGCGAACGAAGCTACGACGTAAGAGTTGGGGATAGTCTATTTCGACGCAACCGGGTGCAGTTAAGGAGACAACGTGGTGAACAAGCACGGCATCGTGCGAAGCAGCCAACGCAGCCGGACATTTCGGTGGATACGGCAGCACACGACCACAAGACTACACGCAGTGGAAGGCGATACAGCGCTTACGCAATCGGACTACAAAAAAACGAAAAAAGGAAGGATGTGATGGTAGCTTACGTGCCAAACCGCCAGCCAACAGCGCGAACTGGTTTCCACCAATCGGCAACACAATCGGAGATCGCAATCAGTTCGCGGCACCGCCAACCAGTGGCGCACACAAGCTACCGATCGGACGAACAGACCAACGGCTCGGCAAAGTGTCTGGCAAACAAGCGTGGTCCGAATATCCAATCAAAACCCGAGACGGCTCGCAAACGAGTAAGCGACGTTAAGGGGATCGAGGACTTGCATCAGACGCCTGACCAATCAGCGTCACGTCAATCCGGTACGCGAACGACCGTTCATAGGCCAGAAAGAGCAGGCACTGAACCGAAACCCATCGGCCGATTGGTTTTTGATCGTCAAGACACAGCATGGGGAACCAATTGTAGCAAATGCCATGGACGAATTACGACCGAACGATTGGAGGCGAAACGCCCAGGATCAAAGGACACTGGCAAATGGAGACAAATGCATGAAAGTGTAGTAGCCGAATAGAAACGGGCGCAGAAAATGGTCATATCTGATATAAAAAGAAAGCAATTCTCGCCAATAAAGATTTTCGTGTCGCCGCCACCTGTTGTTCTTTCTGCCGGAGGGCCGCACGTTTTACAGCCACCAAATACTTATCATGATGCAAGTTGCGTAGCCCTTTTCTTAAATGCAAACCAAAGTATTGGCGGCGCTCGGAGACCGTTATTAAAACTCGCGGTTAATTAGGGCCTACCTACAGTATTCTGCGGTCTTCCGTTTATTGGACGGCCCTTGTTAACGGTCCTGTGACGGTGTCTCCAACCACTTGGTTCGTGCTCTCCCTTTAATTTCGCCGGTCAACGCTTGCTTTATTTGGAGCAACGTCGAGCCTCGTTAGTGCCATGACGGATAGACCGCATGGCGAGGTCCGTTTGGTCGTGCGCCCGTGTGGGTGACTGTACCACGATTGCCTAGGTACCACAGATAGTTGTGGTTTTACCATTGACTTAGGCGGAACCATTCCGCTAGTTGTGTGTCCGATCAACCTGCTTTTCCGCTGGACCAATGTGTGCTGTTTTACTATTGTGCTGGGCTGGATGCAATATACAAGCAGAGTCCTCCTGACTGGAGTCTGGTTGACCGTTAGTCTAGGAGACCTGTGCTGCCCCGGTCGGCCAGCTAACGCAACGGTGCGCTTCATCAACTTGGACACCGGCGTAAGCAGCCATGCTCCAGGTGGCTAAACAATCCTAAAAGTCAAAAGACATTATCAGGAAGTTATCAAAAATCC